TTCGAGCACAAATAATTTAATGATTTAACTTAAATGATCTAACATTGGAGAAATTTACCTCTGCATTTATCCCATCCCCTTGGGGAGGAGTGGGCTGCCATTGTGCGGCGCCTGGGGAGCAGTTTGGGGTTAAGGGTTTTGCTCAGGAACTCAGAGTGGAGGCTGTGGGGATCAAACAGGGTCCTTGCAACCTTCTCAGAGCACAAGTGCACTGCTCTAACCACTAGGCCAGCACTCCCTCTTTTATCTTTCTAATTGTGAAAAGTTTGGAAAAACGGCAAGGGAAAACAAAGTAAATGCCTCGCTGTAGGCTATTTTAAATGCACCATGCCAATCCGTAATGAAAAGATTGGGAAGACTGTGTAATTTCTTGTTTTTTTTTTTATATTTAATAATCACTTTATTATTTTCCAATTTTTTGTTGCTCTCATGTGATTTAATTCTATATTTTCTTAAATTGTTCATCTTTTTAATTATTTAATCATCTCTATACCACTGCAATTATCTTTTCTCTATGTCTTTTACTATTTTTTTCTTATATACAGAGCTTTAAATTGACTTCTTACTGAAATGTGCTTTATAAATAAACTTACCTTGCCTCGTTGACAAAAAGATCTTTAAAAGTGAGCAATAATGCCCTGATTTAAAGACATTCAAGAAAAGACAAGAAGCAAAGTCAATGATATCAATCAGTCTATGAAGTTTTACAAAGCCATTTTTTAAAGCATTGGTGCTCAGTGCTAAACCTTCCTTGGCGTTGCAGACCCATCATAGCTTTATGTTCATATTAAGGCTTCAATTGCTTTAGTTGAGGTCAGCATTGAGGATTCAACCATAAGAGAGAGAATGGGCAAAAATGGAAACTATGGCTTAATCCACTGTTGACCGAAAAGATAATAAAAGTTTCTTTTGAAACTTGGGGATCTTTTGAAAGGTGTGTCTCCAGCTGGTTAAAAACGCCCATAGAATAAAAAACAAACAACATGATAGTCACAGCCAATCATCGTAGCTGAGGTCTGATGGTCTCCAACTCCTTTGATGCTTTGATATAACCTTGCAATTATTCAAGTAATCATGAATTCCGCTTTCTCACAGAAATTCCCAATTCTGGATATTTACCTGAAGCACATCTGGGAAATTTATTTCTCCTCTCAATAGTCTAAATCCAAAACATATCAGGCCTTTTTTGGCCTAGTCAAAGTCAGGACTTAAATCCAACAACGGTGCTTTGGCATGACCTTAATTAGCTTAATTAATACATATCCCGATTTAACCACTCTCTTTTGTATTTATTAAGGTTATCTATATGAGATATTTGAATGTGTCTCATCAAGTTTGTGGAGGAAACATGCTTTTCAACAAAAGTGTAGTTAATGCATAAAGTAATTGATGAAAAAAAAAGAGAAATACAAAATTAGCAAGAATAGAAGCAAACTGAAGACAGGAAGTAGGGCTTTTCTGGGACACTTTACAATGATCCTTCAAGCTGCAAAAACAGCTATTTGAAATAATACAGAACATGTCCAAACAGCAGCAAAGGCTAAAAACCACAGCAAAAAATAGAAATAAAAAACTCTGATGGCTTCTAGCTGAATATTCTAAGTAATGATGTGATAACTGAATTCTTCACACTGTTGATGGATTGTTGCTACCTGTATTTTCACAGCATCCTGTGTTGACCCAGGACATGTGAAATTAAAGCATCATTTGCTCCCAGCTGCTTCTGACAGTCTGTGAATCATTTGAAATGATCTGCCTGTCATCACACATCATTCCATGATGAGGAATCATGTCAAATAACAGCTCTGATGTCACAGGATGTTGACTTCACATTGGGGTGATAGAAACTGTAAACATCGACTCCATTATTTACCAGGGCTGCTCCGCCATCCCTGACTAGTCACAGTCCAAACACGTCACACTGTTGACGTCACATCAGGCTGTCCCCAGCTGTCCACTTTACATCTGGGTATAGTCCAGGGGTGATGCTGGTCCCTTTCTGTCATCACTTCCACTGTGGGTTCATTATCTCTTCCTTCATAGATGCTGCAGTTTCTCTCATCCTCTCTTTCAGCTTTTGTTCAGCGGCTCTTTTACTTCTTTGCTCTTTTTCTTTTAGCTTTCCAAACAGGTTTCATTGTTTTGTTTGTAAATTTTTGAAATATATCGACATTCTCAATGAGATTTCTGGCTAAAACTGAGAAGAATTCAGGTGATGGGAAGATCTATTTCACAGGGTGTTTACTTTATGAGCAATTTTTAAATCATTTTAAAGAAATGTGAAAAACCACTGTGATGGTTTCCGAGCAACAAAACATCTCAGTAGGACCCTTTTTTGTGGAGCTGTTCAGAGTCGAATGTTCTGTTTGCTCTGAATCATTGTCCTGGTGGAAACTCAAGTTTACTGGAGCCGCAGCATGATGGCAAACACTGGTTACATTGCAACCACTTTGTTTGACATTTCCAAATATTTTGGAATGGTTAGTTAATCGGGGTTTTCTATATGTAAATCTGATGCACACATCTAAAAACTCCCTTTTTGTCGTGTCACTCCACAGCCTGTGTCCTGGCAGTCATGGGGAATTTTTAGGACCAATAGATCTTTGTGACAGCAGTCGTTTTGGCTTTGGAACTCCTTCTCACATTTTTTTTGTCCAGCCTCTTTTTTTTTTTTTGTGGTGAATCTGTGCACTGAGCCTAACAAAGACACATATGGTCTACAGAGCTTCAGCTATGATTCTAAGTCCTTATTTGACCTCTGTTGATATACACCAATGTGTTCTGGGAATCCTGGTTCACTGATAGTCCATGTTTTCTCTATTTATGAAAAGTACTTGTTAATGTGGTTTTCTGGAAATTGTGAAGCCTTAGAAATGGTTCTGTAACCCCTTCCAGTCTAACAGATGTCTATCAGAATCTTTTAAAAAAAATCTTATTTTTAAAATTCAATTCAGTTTATTTATATAGTGGCAATTCCAAACACGTAATCTCAAGGCACTTTACAGTTGAAACTAGATCATATAGTCAAATTGATACAAAGTTTATTATCTAAAAAAAACCAAATGATTGCATCAACTCATTGATTTGAAAGCAATCCCTCACACCAAGCATGCTTGTAGCGAAAGTGGACAGAAAAAGCTCCCTTTTAACAGGAAGAAATCTTCAGCAGAACCAGACTCAGTGTGAGCCGCCATCTGCTAAGGCTGACTGGGGTTCAAGGGAACAGAAGCAGAAATAGAAAAAGAACCAGAGATACAAAAGGTAACTGTCAATCAGCTCCACAGGCAGTCTGATGACATCAGAGCCAGCTCCTATGTCAGAGGATGACAGAGAGCACATACAGTTAGCCCCAGTCAGAGAAACAGGAATACACTGAAAAAGAGGTCAAGCTCAAACATATAGGCAAAGGCGTTGATGGTGCAGTTGATGTTTCTCTCCAGGATGGTGTCACAGCCAAACAGAAACAGACCAGATGAAGCTAATATGAGAAAAAACAGAGAGAGTATAACATAGACAGAGACTGAACTAACAAATTCTACAGAATGGAGGAGAATAGAGATAGAACTAATCAGAATGATGAAAAAGGGGTCCCTATGTCCTCCAGCAGTCTGAGCTTATAGCAGCATAAATATAGAGACAGGACTGGATTCCTTCAAATCAAGGTACAATGCTTTCATATTTAAGGTCTTCCAATCTACTTTATATTACACGGCAGATCGTTTTTACATATTTCATGGTGGTAAAGGAATTGTACCAAAAATGATCAATTAAAGTTTTCTGTTGCAGTTCAATCCAAATGATTATTTCTGAAAAGGGGGTAATTATATTATATTGCACTGAATCTAGTTGCAGATTAATTTTT